TCAAGTGGTAGAACGCCTGCTTAGCAAGCCTCACATGAGGCCCAGAGTTCAAACCCCAGTACAACCAAAGAGGGAAAAGAAAAAAAAAAAAGCTAAGGATATTTTTAATTTCTCATGCAGCTGATAACCATAATTAACTGGTATCTAAAACTAGGCTAAATATAGAATGCTTAATCTGGGCATGATGTTGCACACTTTAATCCCAGCCTCAGGGGATGCAGCTCAGTAAATTTTTGATAGTAATGTAGTAAAACAGGAGACAGTGAAGAAAGCCTAGTATTCATTTCAGCAGCACATATACCAAAAATAAGTAACTATGGTAACTAAAGGCACAGAATGGATAAATTCAGAGTGAGAAGAGAAGACTAAGGACCGAGACAAGACTATAAATTAAGGCTGGGTGCCAGTGGCTCACATTTGTAATCCTAGCTACTCAGGAGGCAGAGGTCAGAAGGACTGGTTTGAAGCCAGCCTGGGAAAAGTAGTTTGGGAGACCCTATCTCAAAAATACCCAACACAAAAAAGGGCTGGCAGAGTGGCTCAAGTGGTAAGAGCATCTGCCTAGCAAGTGTTCAAACCCCAGTACCACCAAAAAGACTATCAACTAAGGATCTAGCCAACCCTGGTAGGGACCTGAGGAACAATCAGAGCAGGATGAAAAAGCAGAACCCAAGAGAGGAGATCCTGTCAGGCTGGATTTTTTTTTTTTTTTGGTGGTGGTACTGGGGGTTGGAACTCTAGGCCTCCTGCTTGCTAGGCTAAGCAGATGCTGTACTGCTCAAGCCACGCCCCCAGCTGTAGGCTGGAAAATTTTGATTCCAAATAAAACCTACTCTGGATGGGCAATTAGGAATCCCAGATCCAAGAATGAGTCAAAGGAATTCCCTAAAAATAGAGTCCAACTCCACTTTACCCTGAACATTCTCAAAAGGTATGTTACAACTCTACAGTTAAGTAACAATTCAGTAGTTGGGATGAAAATGATCTGGAAAACTATTTCAGAGTTTAAATATAGTTTACAGATTAGAGCATAAGAATCTGTTTCTACAGATGAAAAATATCAAATTTATCCTGAAACTTTATAAATTTCTTTCTTTTTTTTTTTTTGTGGTAATGCAGCTTGAACTCAGGGTCTTATACCTTGAGCCACTCCACCAGTCCGTTTTTGTGATGACTTTTTTAAGAGATAGGGTCTCTGAACTATTTGTCCGGTTGGCTGTGTGAACTGCAATCCTCCTGATCTCTGCCTCCTGAGTAGCTAGGATTACAGGTGTGAATCACAGGCACCCAGCTATAAATTTTTTTTTTCCCCCAAGATTTTAGATAATTTCCAGTTTGCTAAACCTTTTCAGCATGTTAAACTCAAGTTTGAGTTGGGCTCCATGGCTCAAGCCTATAATCCTAGCTACTCAGGAGGTAGAGATCTGGAGGCCAGTCTGCACAAAAAGTTCGAAAGCCCCCATCTCTCAATCAATGGCTGGGCTAAATGGCAAGCACCTGTCACCCCCAGGTACACAAAGAAGAACAAATAGGAGAATAGAGGTCCAGGCCAGCAGGGGCATAACATGAGACCCTACCTCAGGGGTGTGGCTCAAGTGGTAGAGTGTCACCTAGCAAGTGTAAGGCCCTGAGTTCAACTCCCAGTACTGCTGAAAACACAAGTATTTTAAGAGAAAAAAAATGTAGTATTCATTTTTATGTCTTCACCACCTAGCTCAGTACCTGAAACATATGTATTTGGAAAAAAAAAAAAAAAAACCTTTGCTGAAGCTTAGTGACAGAACACATGTTTAGCGTGTGTGACAGGAGGAATGTCCACACCTCTAATCCCAGCACTTGGGAGGTGTGGCAGAAAGATCTCAAATTTGAGGCCAGTCTTGGCTATACACAGAGATCCTGTCTCCAAAAACCAAAAAATAAGAATAAAAAGTATAATAAATAAAAGTAGAATGCTGAGCCAGACGCCAGTAGCTCATGCCTGTAATCCTAGCTACTCAGAAGGCAGAGATCAGGAGGATTGAGGTTGGAAGCCAGCCCAGGCAAATAGTTTGAGAGACCCAATCTCGAGAAAACCCATCACTCCACTAGTAGAGTGGCTTGATGTGTAGGCCCTGAGTTCAAGCTCTAGTACCGCAAAAAAAAAAAAGGTAGAATGTTATCTGTAAAGAAATCACCTCATCCTTGTTTTATGAAAAACCCTTTAGGTAACACATTCCACAGATGTGAAAGATAAAATAAACTTTTGCCAAGGTGTGTCTCGTCAGCCAACTATAATTTTTGTAAAACTCAAGAATTCACTATTGTATGTAAGCCAGTATTGACTATCTCGTCTTGCCATTCACTCTTTAGAACTGTAGAACCTATGCCAGGCTTGGTCTGTTTCCAAAAAAAAAAAAAAAAAAAAAAAAAAGATGAAAGGAAAATAACAATGCTCAGACTTAGAATAAAGTAAATAATATATTGTAATAGGTCCCTACTTCCTCTCCAACTCATCAGCTATAGTAAAATGTCTGAAAAACAACCTCTGGCACTTAAAGGCTGAACATGAACAGTTCAGAATTGTTTTCTATGTTTAAATTTCAGGTTAAGGATAACAGTCAAAAAAAAGTTTTTTTTTTTTTGGCAGCACTGGGGTTTGAGCTCAGTGCCTCACACATGCTAGGCAGGCTCTTACTGCTTGAACCACTCCACCAGCCTTGTAACTATCTTCAAAGGTATGGTCTTAAACCTTTTTTTTTTTTTTAATCAATACTCTCAACAGGAGCCACGTGTGTTCAGCATAAGTTCAGAAATTATACCCCTGGTTTCATTTTAACTAAAATGTGAGTTTCAAATAAAACAATTTTTAAACACATCACTTTTACTAAATTAGGCATGGAATAACACTATATTAAGAGAACGATTTAATTATACATCATATTTTAAGATCTCTATTACTGAGTTGATAGGTGAGCCTGGAGCTGGGAGGGAAGGACTAATCAAAAAGAGAATCCTGCATTCCTTCTTCTTAGCTGACTTATACAAATATAAAACTAATTAGCAAAGGATAACTACTTTCCTTATGATTGTTATACTGGAGATATGTTAACTTCTTAGCTTTACTTTGGAATCATAGGCTAAAACTCAGTTCTACCTTCAATGAACTGAACAGAAAAATTACAGGGTCCTTTGCTCCTTTACATTTTATTTCTTTAGACAGGGTCTTGCTATGTAATCCATACTGGACTCGCACAAGAGACCTTCCTGCCTCAGCCTCCTAAGTGCTGTGATCACAGGCCAGCTGTGCTCCTTAAAAAACAGACTTGTGGGGCTATCTAGAGCAAGTAGGTTACACAACCGTTAAAGTTAAAAGGGCTAACTTTTGGGAAAGATGTCTGAAATGCTTTGGACAAATGAACAACGGCTTAAGACAAGCAGTAAGTACTATAAAACCATTACATATCAGGATACAGATTTACAAAACTGCCATATAACTTCTGTGCATTCTCTTCAAAATGTCCTTTGCCTACAGCATTCTGTGCAGAGAACTGGCCCAGGTCTGGGCTACATAGTGAGACCCTGCCTCAAAGAACAAAACCAAGGAAGCTAGTGAAAATTAAGGCACACATTTGTTTACCAGCACTTTCTACTTCTACCCAGAAGAGTTAGTTCATGTTTCTTTCATTCTCCCACTTCACAGCACTTAGCAACTTCAACATAAATTCCTGCCGCTCCCCCCACAAAGAAATCGACAAACTTAATCACAATTCACAAGGTTTTTAGTTAAGAATTCTGCAATTAAGTGCGTTTTTTCTTCTGCATTCGTAAGAGGGCTTTGATTCCAAAATTACATTATTAATCCTTTTTTTCCCTACAGATCTGACGGTAGTAGAGATCTGTTTTCTACATTCATACAGCTTGGTTTTTACAGCGCTTTCACATATATCCACTTGTACCACACAAACGTGGTAATTTTAGACTTATGAGGCAGACAAGATAACACTAACCGGCCTTTATTCTAACTTCCTTCCCTTGATTTACAAACTCTAATCCTAACCCTAGTCTCGATGCGAACAAAATAAACCGTGAACACAATGAAATGGACACCACTTCCAGTTCCCCAAAGAACAAACATTCCTTTAAATAATAAAACCAAACTCGTTCACTTCGCAAAGGAAAATCAACCCCAGCCAAACAACCGCAAAAAAACAAAAAACAAAAACAAAAAGAGGCGGGAAGACCCAAATTCTAAACGCGGTCAAACAAATCTTTTAAATTCAACGCTCCAAACGCAGCCGCCAACCCACAATCATGTTAGCGCCATCTCTCAATTTTGAATCCGGACACTCCAGCAAGAACAATAAAGAGCAGAGTTCCGAAAGTTTCACAAAGTGAGAAAAAAGTCATTTCAAGTAAAGAAAACGCGTTGTTAATCCAGAGGCGCTGAGCCCAGTCTTCCCGCCCGCCCCGGTCCCGCTTCCAGCCCTCGAATAAACCTGCTCCCATACCTCGGCAGGAGGCGGAGGCGGGAGTCGGGACCGGGATGGAGAAGGCGCCAAACGGCCCCGCACGCCGCACGCCGAGAAGGCCGGGGCCGCGGTCCGCAGACAAAGACCAGCCCGCCCAGCCGGACGGAGAGGGGCGGCCCCGGCGCGGTTCTGCGCCCCTAACCGCCCCGCCGAGCTGCGAGCACCGCCGCGGCGCCAAGTGAGCGCCGACGCCGCCCCGGTCCCCGGCCGGCCCCCGAGCCGTTTCCCTTCCAATTTGGGAGCCTCGCGACCGGGGACAAAAGGGGAGGGCGCGCCGCGGGCAGCGGTGGGAGGCGGGCGGCGACGCCCCTCGGGGCTCGGCGGGAACCTCTCGGCGGCGTCCCTCTCCCGCTCCCCCGGGACGCCAATCGCGCTCCTCTCTGGACCCCGACTTTCCTCGATCCTTTTCGGAGCTCCCCACAAGTGCTCCCGCTTGCCTCGGGCCCCGCCCCAGCCCGCTCCCCCTCAGCCAGCCCTGCGGCCGCCCCTCACCGGGCGGCGGGTGCCCCCGGAGCCGCCTCCTCCGCCGGGCCTCGGCCCGTCCCGCTGGCCGCCGCCTCATGGGCTCCGCGTCGCCATCGCCTTCGTCGCTACCCTCGCCTCTACTCCACCACCTCCGCTCGCCGCGCCTTCGCCTCAGTCTCCAGCCGAGGCTGAAGTCGCTCCCGCCGCCGCCGCCGCCGCCGCCGCCGCTGCCACCGCCTCCAGCTCCCGCGGCCGGGACCCGCGGGGAGGCGCCTGCGCACTGCGCGCCGCGATGGGGGCGGGGGCGTCCCACCGCGGCCTGGGACTGGGGCGCGCGGCACGTGGCGCTCGGATCGCAGGGGGCGTTCCGGAATCCGCCGGCAGTATCGCGGGCTCCAACTTTCCGGGGTCTGGTCCTCGCGCGGGTTCCCCGGCGGTCCCGGACGCGGCGAGGGCGGTGGCACGTGTAAGGACCCACCCGCGTGAAGTCTGGAGCTCATGCCTATAGCTTGGTCCCCTGGATCGCAGTTCCCGCCCGCGGTGCCTCAGTGTGAGCCCGGCGCTGACGGCGCGATGTAGACACGCCTTACCTGGGTATCCTGGGTTGGTCCACGGAGCCCCGGCGTTGCCTCGTGTGTGCGCTGGGCCTGGGTCCAGCGTAACTCGCGATGCTTATGGCTGTTCTAGGTTCTGCTCTTCAGTTACCCAAAGATCCTACGCGCCCTCAGTTGGTCAGTCATCCTGGCTTCTTTTGAATCATGGCTTTTACAGGCGTTCTAGATACTTTTGAGGTCCTGGATTTCTACAATTAGCAAGACCCTAATAGGCTATTTCCTCTTAACTCCCTGCATCCCAGCAGGATCCCAGTCAAAGGACTTTTTTAAAAAATTGCAGTCATAGGAATGCTCCAGGTGTAAACGGTTAAGAAACTGAAAACTCCCCAAATGTCTTGAGTAGAGTGAGACTGCATGAAAAGGAAGGCTTGCTTAAACAGACTTGAGACCTTGCACACGGCTGTGCTCCACAATTATCTCATTTGAGCATTACAATACAAATGGGTAAGCTCCCCCCTCCCCAACCCCCCTTTTAACCAGAGGGAAAATTCAGCTCTAAGTGAGATGATTTGATACAGGTCAAACTCCTCCACTCAAAGCCAATCCTAGGCTAGTTCACAGGTTGAGAACTTGAGGGCTGGGCATCTGGCCTGCCAACAAGTTTTGTTTGGAGTATGGTGTTCTCCATGAAAAAAAAAAAGAATTGCCCAAAATTTTAAATCTAGCTGTCTTTTCTCTAAAAAGTCAAAGAATGTGTTCATTTTGAGCCTGTATTTTCACATGGGTGGCATTTGGTTTATCCCCAACAGGCACTGTTCCCACTCAGCTGCTTGAATCTTTTGTTTTGTTTTGTTTTGTTTCTGGCATTGGGGATTGAACTCAGGGCTTGCTAGGCAGAATTCCTAACACTTGAGACAACCCCACCAGTCCTTTATTTTATGTGTGTATTGGATTTTTTTTTTTTTGAGATAGGGCCTCACTTTTTGCCTGAACTGGTCTTGAATCTTGATCCTCCCGATCTCTGCCTCCTGCGTAGCTAGGATTACAGGAATGAGTCAGGAGTGCCCAGCCGCTTGAATTGTTTTAATTACCTCCTTGGCTTCTGAGTATTGAAGTTCTCCCCATATTTGCCATGCCCTGGTCTGCCTTCCCCATATTATCTGTCTAGAAATGTATTTTAAATGATAAATGTGAAGACTCTGTAAATGCTTGCCTGGCATGTCCAAGGCCCTAGGTTCAACCCCTAGCACTGTCTTCTACCTTCTAGAACCCAGCACAGAGCATAGTAGATACTTAAGAGTGATGTGCTGAGTGAATGAGTGAATAAAAGCTTGCCATTCCTAGAACAAAAAAGACAGGAAGGGGGAAAAAATAAGCCCCAAGTTTTAACCAAGGTAACTGCATCTGGTTTCCAGGCTCTGGCAGGGAGTGGCACAGCCAAGTACTGTGAGAACCACATCACTTCTTATTCACATGGGGCTTGGGTGGGAAAGGATCAAAACTCAATTTGAGAACTTGAGAGTCTCCCTGGGACTCTGTGGTTTGGGAACAGTAGGGTCAACTTGAAGGTTGCAGTGTGTCACTATTTCCATTACACATTTCCAGGGTCCCTACTTAGCTGGTAAACTCAGAGTAAATTCCTCTATCTTGGAGGACCCAAGAGGCCCATGATTTGGGGACGTTCTCCTATCTGCCCCGACTGGATTGGAAGGAAGAATTGTTAAGGAAATTCTTAATTTCTCCTGTTCATGGGAGAGGGATATTAGTAACACACACCTCCCTCCCTCTCCACTAATCCCCAGCAGTTTCTGTTAACCTTTGGGACACTATACTGTTTCTTCCTCCCTTTGCCTACAGCCATGTGGGCTAAAGCAGATTTTTTTTTTTTTTGGATAGGTAATACAAGTCATGGAAGCAACAGTAAGATGACCCCCCCACCTGGTGTCTTGTTAGTAGTTTCTTGTGCATCAATGCTGGATTTTATTTATTTATTTGTTAGTTTATTTATTTGACAGCACTGGGGTTTGAACTCAGGGGTTCATGCTTGCTCGGCAGGTGCTCTTAACACTTGAGCCACTCTGCCAGCACAATGCTGGATTCTAAATTAAGGAGAGTACAAGGTAGATGGAGTATATTCAGTAATTGAGAGTGAGGAGAGTTAAGGACATTGGTTCTGGTACCACCCACTAGACAAGGATGTCTGTTTTGTTTGTTGGTTTGCTTGTTTTGGGCAGTACTGGGGTTTAAGCTCAGGGTCTCATGGTTGCTAGGCAGGTACTCTACCACTTGAGCCACTCCACAGGTCCCAGACAAGGACTTCTGGACAAGCACAAAAGACAGTGCACAGGCCCAGACTGCTGCTGCCTTGGTGAGAAGCACTGAGTTAGGGATATAGTCCCTAAATGTCCAGAAGCCCTGGGTGCAAAAGTCCACTCTGTTCAGCTGTTGGTCCTCTTGTTTACTCTTTTTTTTTTTGGCAGTATTGGGGCTTGAACTCAGGACTACACACTTGCTAGGTAGGTGCTCTACTGCCAACCTGTGTTGGGTATTTTTAAGATAGGGTCTCTTGAACTATTCACCTGGACAAGTTTCAAACCTCAGTTTTCTGATCTCTGCCTCCTGAGTAGTTAGGATTACAGGCATGAGCCACCAGTGCACAGCATTGTTTACTCACTTTTAGAAAAATGGTTGTGAAGCCAGTCGTCAGGGGCTCAGGCCTGTTATCCTAGCTACTTGGGAGGGTGAGTTTGGGAGGATCGAGGTTCAAGGCTAGTCTGGGCAAGTAGTTTACAAGACCCTATCTTGCAACAAAAGGGCTGGTGGAGTAGCTCAAGTGCCTGCCTAGTAAGCATGAGGCCCTGAGTTTAAACCTCAGTACTGTCAAAAGAAAAAAAAAATCCCACCTACTTAGAGATAGGAAAATCATGGTCTGAGGCCAGCCTGTGGAGACCATAATCTGAAAATACAAACTAAAGTTAAAAAAAAAAAAAGATCTGGAGATTATGCCTCCAGTGGTATGGTGTTTGCCTAGCAAGTGCAAGCCCTAAATTCAAACTCTAGTACCCTCCCCCCCCAAAAGCAGAGTACACATAAAAACCTGCTAAAGTATGTGAACAGTCTCCTCAGAAAGGTTAGTGTCTACTAAAGGCACTTTCTTGGCTCCAGTGCTATAGCTCTGGGACTATCCCTGACAAATGCTGCAAGGTCCTTTGAATTCAGTGCCAGTATTTAAAAGGAGAGGGGATGTTATACCCTCCCCATCCCAGGCACGTCCTAGGGTCTGCCTCAACTTAGCCACATCTTCTAGAAACTTCCACTGGCCTGCCTGTTCCTGTTACTCTGCTCTTTGCCTCTGAAATCCCCCAGATACTACTAAGGCCTGATATTTTCTCTTGTGTCTCCCCGAGCCCTTCAACCCTGTTCCTTCCCCTTTCAGCCCCAATTGGGAGCATCCTGTTCCTTGTCCAGTTCATTCTCATCATCCCCTCACAGCTCTCTTAGCTCAAGGCAAAAGCTACATGACCCTCCCCTTTCTGTGTCCACTAAGCTCCCTTGGGCTAAATATAGCACAGCTGTGCCTGACAGTGTGTGCAAACTTCAAGACTCATGCTCCTCCCCAGTCTTCCCTGTCTGCGTAAGAGGGAGAACATCCATGAAGCTTCCGGTTAGAGTGGGATAGCCCAACAATGTAGGGTGCGGCAGGATGAGCAAGGGTATGCTGAGTTTGGGATCACACAGACAATGGTAACCTTCCCATCTGTTGTCAGGGACTTTTCAACCTGTTACCCTTCCTGCCACTTGTTCATTCTAGAGGAGAGGAATGTACTGGGAATTGTAGGGCTGGAGGAGCGGCTCAAGCGGTAAAACGCATGCCTATCAACCATGAGGCCCTGAGTTCAAACCCTAGTACCACTGGGGCACTGGGAAATTTTAACAGTCATTCCATTTAACTCTTACAATACTCCTATGGGTACATGCTACCTCCACTTTGCAGACAAGGACAAATACTCTGAGAGATCAAGTGGCATAACCAAATACTTAGAGTACTCAGTCTATGGGCTAATTGGCTCCACATCTGACTTTGGCCTAAGTCTGTCTACATGATTTAGAACCCTCTAAATCAGAGTTTCTATTAATGTGACCTGATTTGGAAGAAAAAGAGGTTCACTAAATAAATTACTAAAGTAAAAATGCTTAAATGGAAACAATTATTAAAGACTTGGCATATTAACAAAAATAATGGCATCGTAATTTTAACTTGTCTGTTTACTTAAAGCAGGACTCTACAGAAATTTTTTCCCTGAAGTTTTAGTTACTGTGTGTCCTTGGAAGTTTTTCAAATAAAAATTCAATTTTGTTTTCTTTATTTCAAGACTCCCCTTCCACTTTGCATACATTTTCCCAAGGTACAAAGGGTCCAAAGGAATGAACATTTGAGAAATAGTTAAAAGTCTAGTCTTATTTTCTTTGTGACTTATGGTGGTCTTGGGTAAAACATTTAACTGAGCTTCAGCTTTTGAACTGTGAAATGGGAGTAATAATACAGACATCAGAGTTAGTGTGAGAATTGAATATACATAGGGCTGGGGTTGTAGCTCAATGTTAGAGTCTTCTCTAACAAGAGGCCCTGGGTTCAATCCCCAGAACCATAAACAAATAAAAACACCTACATAAAGCAATTAGTACACCACTAGGCCCATAGAAGGTGCTCAGTAAATCACAGTCAAGTCTTATTTTGTCACCTCTGGGCTATGATGCTGCGGGTGCAACCACATAATCTTAATAGGGAGAAAACTGAACTTGGATCTCCATAGTTTGGCCCTGTTCGTCATAGGTCTTGATCCTGATTCCTTTCCAGTCTCATCCAGACGTTGCCATCTCCTCTTCTCTGGCCTAGATAAGGGCATATATCATTCATCTTTTGAGAATTCAGGCCATAGTGGGGACCTGGAGTGGCAGAACAGGGGTGTGTGTGTGAACAGCAGAGAGGAGAGTTCCCATGGACACTGGGGATATGTGAAGGCCCTGGGGAGTTGCTGTGACCCTGGATCTGTTCATAGAGCAGTGAGTGTTAAGGAGAAAAAAGAGGAACATCAGCTGCTGGACAAATTTCCAGTTCTGAAAAGGCCCCATTAGGGGACACACACACACTCACACACAAACCCACACACACAGGCTGAGTAAACTAGGGAAAGAACAAAGGCCTGGAATGGAGTGAGACCCTCCACAGTGTACTCTTAATTCTTTCCCCATTTGTTTAGCAAGAGCTTTGTCTTCTCCTAGTCGAGGGTACAAGGATCCATTAGCATTCCTAAGTTTCACTATCAATCTAGAGGGTTTTGGCTTGGCCAGCCCCCATAGGTTGGTTATTGCAAGCTAGGAGTGCATACTTTGGAGCCAGCCAGACCTTGGGTAGATCCTGACAAACCACATTTTACTGTGTATCCTTGGATAAATTATTTGGCTTCTCTGAAGTTCATTTCCTTCATCTGTAACAAGTCTGAAAAATAAATATCCAGTAGAGAATGACACTAACGCCAGTCAGTCATTCCTGAAAACAGAGTGAGCATCAACCCCACAGGCGGCACAAAGGGTTCTAGAGATGTGAAGGAAGTCTTGAGCTTGTCTCCCACAATTGGGGTATTTTATTTACATTCCATAGTTAATAAGAATATTTGAGGCAGTGCAGCCTGGGGGAGAACCCAGATCTTGCTTTCTTGCTTCTCTATCTACATCTCAGTTTGTCCACATCAAGCCTGATTTTTGTCCAGCCACATGTGTTCATGGGAACAAAACTGCATTAGTTAAGGGCTCCCCTCCATCTGGGCTAACATTACTTTCCAGCACCTTAAGCTCAACAGATGGGGGGTTAAGAGTGATGCCCTATACTATCTCCCCCCCTTTACTGACTTCAAAGTCTTCACAAAGCCAAAGCCACTACTTTCCTGACCCCAGAGTGGAGGCTCCAACATCAGCTCTTGGCTGAATCAAAACAGCAGATGCTGAGCCCTGGTCCAGCTGCAGGAGCTCCACTTTCTAGCCGGCTATCTCCTAGGGTAAGTACCAGCATGCTAAGGACCTATGCAGCTATCAGTCCTTTCTCTACCTAGAGAGGAGGGGAAACTAGGAAGAGAAGTTGATTCGAGCAGGGAGCATTCGTCTTTGGATTTAGAAGGCCTTTCACTGGCAGAACTCCTGCTCTGAGACCAGGACTCCACTAGTTTGTGATCAGAGCAGACATTTACAAGGACTGGCAAGTAGAGCAACCCAGGGATGGAGCAGCTCAGGGACCTGAATCTGTTCTTTTAGTACTAATGTGCAAAATATATGCTAAATTATACCCAAATCAATATCCCAACATTTAAATCTGCCTCTGGTAATTTGGTAATCTTTGGTATAAATGTCTGGGATGGCTCTGGTTCCCTGGGGCCAGGTCTTGCTCTGTAGCTCCCGCAGGAGTAACTGTCACTGAACGAGGACCAGGAAGGACCCCAAGATTCAAGAACTGTTCCTTCCAGTCTCTGGATTTTTCCAGCTGTTTTTTTTTTTGGCACAAAGATAATACTCATAGGGATGCAGATAGGGGAGAGGGATTAAAGTCAGAATGAACTGAGAAGAGGCAGATGTTAGGAAGGACATGGGGAAAGTGATTGTGAGTGGCTCAGGTACCTGAGACAGGATACCTGGGAAGGATATCTTTCCAAGTGGAGGCTGTGCTGGGTATGGTAAGAGGGTCATAGCAGGTAACACCTTCCGTTCCATCCCAGACAGAACTGAGTGTTCTTACTGTAGGGCACGCCTCCTTCTAGGACTGGGCTGAAGCCTAGGAGGACCAGCTGTTCATATCTGGGTCCAGGATTATGTCTGCTAACAAAGGCTGGTGGGTGCCACCTGAAGGCGAGGATAGTGTGTCTGAGAAGTTCCTGAGGAAGACCAGGGAGTCTCCACTTGTGCCTATAGGTGAGTGGGGAAAGGAACACGGGTGGGTAGGAGGTCTCCTCTTAGAGGGATCAGTTTCCTCGTTCTTTTTAAGGAGAGCAAGGCAGGGGTCACAGAACTAAAGTAGTCCACCCACTGTGCAAGGGTCAAATGTTTACAATGAAATGAGGGAGTCTGCATGGGGGAAGTTGCAGTCAACTGAGTGCATGAGATACAGGGAATCCCAACACCATTATCAGCTTCAGTATGGAGGGTCATGGGCTGGAAGAATGGCTCAAGTGGTAGAGTGCCTGCCTAGCAAGTGTGAGACCCTGAGTTCAAACCCCAGTGCCACTAAAAAAATAAAAGCAGTATTGAGGGTCAAAATTACAACTTGGGATCCCCCAGTGCTTCCTTCTTCAATGCCTTGGGAGGTCAGGAAAACAGCTGTTCCAGGAGGTAGAGGTAGTTGAAGGGTCCAACAGACCTGAGACTGGGGCATAGTCATGATGATAGGCTATTTCTATATTGGGGGGGTGAGCATTTTGAAAGGGACCCCACCACTTTGAAAATGCCATTGACAGGAACACTTTTTTTTTTTTGGTGGGATTGGGGGTTAGAACTCAGGGCCGTATGCTTGCTCAGAAGGCGTTCTACCACTTGAGCCACTTTACCAACCTGTTTTTGTGTTGGGTATTTTTGAGATAGGCTCTCAAGACCATTTGCCCAGGCTGGCTTCAAACCTCAATCCTCTTGGTCTCTGCTTCCTGAGTAGCTAGGATTACAGTTGTGGGCCACTGGCGCCTGGCACAGCTCAACATTCTAAGGAACCCCCAGCTCTCAAGCTGCATAAAAGCAACTGCTTACCCAGTGCCCAGGTATCACATTCTCTGTCCACAGGCTTAGGGGGCTGCCTGATGGTGGCAGCATACAGGATTTACCGGCTGAAGGCTCGAGGTTCCACCAAGATGTCCATACATCTGATTCACACCCGAGTGGCAGCACAGGCCTGTGCTGTGGGTGCTATCATGATAGGTAAGTAGCTTGGTGGGGTCACAGGAGAATGAGGGCAAAACAGACTAGGCAAAATCTATGAATCCTCAGTTACAGGACCAATGATTTAAGTCCCTGTCCCCCATACTGGGATCCACATCAGATCCTTGACAAAGCCCCTTACAGTGAAGCCTTTTCAGAGTCCCCATTTGGTCACCTGTCCCTTGCTGATGGGTTAGTTCAGATTGTTTTATGACAGTTTTCCCTAGAGGAAAAGAAAATCATGCATCAGAGCATAAGCTGGATTTCTTTTTCTCTCTGACTCAAGAAGCGCAACTACTTGCTAACTGTGCTAATAGGACAATCCTGTTCACTGGGCCTTGGTTTTCCCATGTATAACATGATGATAACCAGCCCTGGCTCACTCACTTCACCGGTGGTTCTCATGTTTCTCATAGACACATACAGAATATAAAGCTAAGTGCTTTGTGGGCTTTCAGATGGGTTGTTTCCCCAAGTTGTGTGGCTGGAGCTTGGAGCAGCTGTTGCAACCTGGGGCAGAAGTGGGAAAGCTGGACTCTCAAGGGAATGGGTATAGTGAAACCACTGGGACATCTGGGAGAGCCAGAGGACAGGTGCAGGGATTGGATGCCAAGTGTATTTCTCCTTCCTTGCACAGGTGCTGTGTATACAATGTACAGAGATTATAGCAAAAGGACAGCACAGGATGCTGGGGAGAAGTAGGACTCCTGAAGGGGTGGGGCAGCCCAAGCCTTTCATCGATCTCGGTATGTGCCTAATAAAGAGGTGTTGAGGAAAGCCAAGTGTCTTTTTTACTTGCAGAGAGCAGAGGAAATGGTGATAGCTGTGGGAGGACCCAGTGCAAAGGATGGAAGCCTCTGTTCCTCCAACTCAGGGTCAGGGAAACATGACAGACAATGGTCTCTCAAGGAGGAGGTGACTAGGCCTCATTCCAGAATCCTAACAAGTCTGACACCACCTCAGGTCCACCTAGAAGTAGCCTAGAGTGGAGTGGGAAGGTCGGGGAGGAAAGGGGCCTTGAGGCCCATGGGAACACAGAATCAGAGGCAGGCATTCCTTCTAACACAGGCTGCTTCCCTTGAGACCAAGCAGGAAGGAGGCTGCAGCTGGGAGAGGAGGCAGTGATGCCTCATGGGAGATCACATATCCAGAATGTAAGTGCTAGGACTAGATGGGTTGGGGGATGGGCAGATGAAAGAAACAGGCCAAAGCAGAGGTCAGAAAACTTTGTTCACTTACAAATCATGGCTAAGGTTGAATTTGTAAAAAATAAAATTCCACGTAAATTCTGATGGGCCCTTTGGGGTTAAACACTTTCACTCCCTTCTTTTCCTGGGCCCAAGTTTCTCTCTGTTCCTTGGGAATGGAGCCTTGGCACAGACCACAGAAGGAACCAAGAGGCCAAATGCCCCTTCCTCACTGAAACTGTGGGTTAAGACATTTATGGGTTGTTCCAGATGGCTGTAGCAGTTCCTGGACACTCTCTGACATGAAGGCAAAGTTGCATGGGTCTCAGCTTTGAGTCCAGGAGCCGTAGCCTTCCACAAGGAGCAGAAGTTGCCAGCCCCCTGCACTCACATGGGGTAATTGAGCACAACATCCTGTTTGGCAAGCTCCAGCAACATAGGATCATCGAAGAACTTGCTGATGCTCACATCTTCACTCAGGCCCTGTAGAGAATAGGATGAATACAAGAGCTCCATGTAAAGGCTGACTGAACTGGTCAAGACCTCCAAGACCTGCTTGAGAGGGAGCCTGATGTGGGCTGCTCCAAGAGCTATGCCTTTAGGGTACTGTCACAGCCCTCTGTTTCCTTTGGGCCCTAGTTCCCATTGCTTGAGGAATGTACAGATTGCATCTTTCCATACTGTGAAGTAAACTTTTCTCAAGTCTACAGGCCCTTAGGAAAAGGTCCCAAAAGGAAATACCGAGACCCCTGGGGGTTGAGGGACACACACCTTTCTCCGACGGGTTTTGATCATGAATTCTCGGGCCAGGTGAGGAGCTGGCTGTGGCTCTAAGGGGCGGATGACAATGCTCTTGTCCAGAGGATCACCGGGTACAATCTGAAAGGCAAAGCGGTTTCAGATGGTCCAGGCAGACTTCCCAGAGAATTAAAGCCCAGAAGCAAGACTCTTGTTAAGAATGTTGGATATTTTTTCACTTGGGGTTTGGAAGGTGAATAGGCCAAAAGGGAATCAGCTTTGTAGAAGTGGGAGGAGGCCAGCCTGACCTGTTTGCTCACCTGCCAATGGTGGAAGACAGACAGGGAAAAGGCCTGTCCCTGGGTATGGGTCCGGAGATCAGTTTCAAAGCCAAAAGAGTCGATAGCTGGTATGAAAGCTTTGATGGTGTAAAGTGGGGAGCCTGGGATGGGTGCATCTTGAGTCACGTGCCCCCTGAGACAGAAAGACAATGGCTGAGTCCCTAGTCATACACAGGCCAAAAGCCAAGGAGAAATCTGGCTTTTGTGGTTTCCAAGTGCATCTTAGCCAAGTTACCATAAAAGAAAAAATAACTGAGAATGCTCTACAGAGAGCAGAAAAGGCTTAGGGTTATTTCGTGTGTGTGTGTGTGTGTGTGTGTGTGTGTCTGTGTGTGTCTGTGTGTGTGTGTGTGTGTCTGTGTGTTATAGGGTCTCTAGAACTATCTGCCTGGGCTGGTTTGAACGGCAATCCTCCTGATCTCTGCCTCCTGAACGGCAATCCTCCTGATCTCTGCCTCCTGAGATCCTAGGATTATAGGCATGAGCCACTGATCCGCAGTTAGGCTTGTAGAGAGAGAGAGAGAGAGAGAGAGAGAGAGAGAGAGAGAGAGAGAGTGTGTGTGTGTGTGTGTGTGTGTGTGTGTGTGTGTGTGTGTGTTTTACTGGGGATCATAACGCAGAGCATTATGCACACTAGGCAAACACTCAACCACTGAGCTTCATCCCTAGCCCCAGGCTTGGAGTTCACAACAGAAATCACAGGGGCACCCAACTCTGGGCAAAGACAGGAAAGGGAACACTGATGGGACACGGTTTTATTGACATTCCCACCCTTGACTGCTTCAGCACTTCTCTCCAGGAGAAGCCCAAGCCCCCTTTCCTGAAGAGCCGAGGGACTTCATGATCTGCCCTTGCTCTTAGAACTTTCCCTAACATGCTAACCTGCTTACCTGCGCCTGGCTAGGACAGTGTAAACAGCAGACACACAATCTGCAGGGGCCTGGACCTCTACAAAGTAGTAAGGCTCCATCAGACGAGGAGTTGCCTACATAGAGCAAGAAGAAAGGGTTCAGCCTGGGGAAGGATGAGGAGCAAGATCCTGCAGATAGCGTTTCTAGGCCCCAAAAGCCGGGCCTTCCACTTAATCCCCTGACCAGGGAGCAGGATGGTCCCTTATAACCGCACTCTCTTACCATGAGGAAGGCAGAGTAGACAACTCTCCGGGCCGTGGGTATGATCTGGCCCCCACCCCGGTGCAGGGGCTCCTGGGCAACCACCGCATCCAGGATCTTAAACTTCACATTTCGAATCACTGAAAAGGAGATGGGGACAGTTGCATCAGTATTCTGGGGCTGGATATGGAGCCATGATAGAGAAAGCACAGTATTATGCAGACACAAAAGAAATGGTAAAAATCACACTAGAGACTGATGTTCTAACCAGATCAGCAAGGCCTATAACAGAGGTCAGTAGTGAATCATATATTCTTAGTGTCTGCTTCATGCCGTGCTTTGGACGTACGGAGCTTTCCTAGTTTCCTAGTTTGTGTTTCTTCTGCAGATAGTAGATGTAGAGTAAATTCTAGAATTTTACATTTGGTCCCATGAAGTCTAATCAGGGTCCATAAACCAGTCCAATCTCATTGCCTTGTTTTGTTTTATTGGTATTGGGGGTTGAACTCAGAGCCTTGTGCACGGTCACTCTGCCAGCCTTTCATATCTCTTCTTTCCTTCTGTCTCTCTCTTTTTTTGTGGAACTGAGGTTTGAACTCAGGGTTTTGCACTTGCAAAACAGGCACTCTACCTCAATTCACGTTTCCAGTCCATTTTGCTGTGGTTATTTTGGAGATGGGATCTTGACAACCATTTGCTCAGGACAGTCTCAAATCACAATCCTTCCTATCTCAGCCTCCCAAGTAGCTAAGATTGTAGGTGTGAGCCAATGGTGCCCAGCTCCTTATCTCTTTTTTTTTGGCAGCACTAGAGTTTGAACTCAGGGCCTCATTCTTGCTAGTCAGGTGCTCTTACCACTTAAGCACTTTGCCAGCCCTTTTTTGTGATTTTTTTTTTTTTGAGATAGGGTTTTGTGAACTATTTGTCCAGGGTTGGCTTAACAGCGATCCTCCTGATCTCTGCCTCCAGAGTAGCTAGGATTACAGGTGTGAGCCACCAGCACCCAGCTCCTGATATCTCTTCTTTCACCCAAACAGGGGTGGTGGAGTGGCTCAGATAGTAGAGTGCGTGCTTAGCAACTATAAGGCCCTAAGTCAAACCCCAATGCAACACACACCACACACACACACACACACACACACACACACACAAAACAACACACATACACACACTCAAATACAGATCCTTCTCAGGGATGAACAGCAAATGTCATTTACTTCATTTCCAGGATGTAGCAAATGGTGGCACAAGGAGAGAGAGGAAGTAGGGAAGAGAATGGGCGAGTATACCTCAAGCTGCTTTTCTCTGGGGCCCACAGGTGGGGACAATTACCCCACCTCATGTGGTTAGGTGCAAGGGAAGTGCTGTTGAACTTACACTCATCACAGAGAGGCCCTTCCCTGGTTCCCCACTGGAAACCTTGAACGATGCTGTCCTTCACTGAGCCAAGAAGAGCCTTGTCCACCTGTACAGAAATATGAGGGCTCCTTAGCAGTTCCCGGGCAATGGCTGACAAGTTTAGAGGGAAGAGGAGAGAGGCATGTCTGTGACAGCACACTCTCCTTCACCAGGCAACACAAAATGACAGCTGGGAACAAAACAGTTTGAACTTTCTTCTACTCAGGAGTTAACAGGTTGCCATTGGTTCCCATTGGTTCTGCTGTACCTCAGAGGGCAGGGTATCATCCACCAGGATGTTGGGACCTGTGGCATCAGGGCCAAAAGCCCAGATGGAACGGGCAGCCAGGAGATCCCAGTCGTACTTGGTCTGGAAGAACTCTCCCAGCTTCTTCCTGGGGAGAGGAGAAAGTGGAAGTGTCAGATACCTCTCTGTTGCTGGCTCCTGGGCCATGATCCTCCTTTTCTGGAGGGCAGTCACCTCATCCTACCCACATTGTTCAGTACAAAGGAGGTACACACAATTCCCAAAAGGATATATGGTATTAGAGACCAGGAAGGTAAGCTGTGGAATCGGTCCTAAAGATACAGCCACGTTCCCACCTGTTCCAGGTGATCTGGACCACCTCGTTCTCTATGTCCTCAGCGAGGCCCTTTTCAAGAGGCTCAGCAATCATGGTGATCTTGTTCCTAAATCAGAAAGGACAAAGGCAATGAGGAGGGTTCACAGGACTAGTAGGGGGTATTCCTAAGAAAAGGGGAACAAAGTGGTCTGTTGAGGCAGTGACAGCAGTGGAAGCCTGGGAGGCAGGATGGGGCAAAGGGCTCATCTTATTTTCTTTCATTTCAGTCTGCTGTTTTTTTAAAAAGTAAGGCTGAAGTTGGGCACTCATGCCTACAACCCTAGCTACTTGAGAGGCTAAAATCAGGAGAATCATGGTACCAGGCCATCAAAAAAAAAAAAAAAGTAAGTAAGGCTGGTGCTGAGGGTGTAGCTCAATGTGTTTATATGTAAAAGTCCTAAAAATTAAGGATTGGGGCAAATTTTTAAGATAGCTATGTGACAGAGAAGTGGCAATTATGAAATTCTTCTAAGGCAAAGGGTTCTGTAGCAGTGTCCAAAGTCATGAAGGATGAGGGGCTGGAGTAAATTCAACTATCTCACCCGCATTCCAACAGCTGTGGTAAGAATAGGAACAAAGTGTCCTTGACATTGTCAGTCACTGAGTTCCCAGTTTACCTTTTTCTTTTTGTAGGATTGGGTTTTGAACTCAGGGATTCACACTTACAAAGCAGGCACTCTACCACTTGAGCCACCTCTCCAGTCCATTTTGC